TCCACCTTGCGGAAATTCCGGATACTATTATTTTGCTTGTCGTATTATAGGAGAATTTATGGTAACTAGCGGTATTTACCGGTAACTCGCGGTATTTACCGGTACCTTGCAGTAGACTGCGTACAGTGTACCGGAAAATAATGCGGTATCGCCCGCGCATTTTGTATGGCTGCATCTGAATATGACTAGAAGAGCTGTGTTGATTGTTGATGGTTAAGATATTGATTATTGATAGTGATATTGATCTTGATTGTATGTAAGACACTTCTGAAAAAAATAAATAACCTTTTAATACATATATGCTGGTTGTGTATTCCACACTTCTCACTTCTGCTATGTAGTGGCCTTTTTTTCATCCTTATGTGAATGTCTTGAGATGTGCCCTGCATACTAGGAAGATGTTTCAAAGTGCTTTCACCCTGAAGGTGCCTACCTGAATTATTCATTTACCAAAACCCTCTCTCTCTCTGTATTAATCTTAGTTAATGCCTTTGCCTTTGGCTTTTTTCTTGTTCTTTCTGTTCTTTCAAGTCTCCTTTGTTATGAATAGCCATAATAAAGACACACATTCCACTTGAAAAATTACTTTTATAAGACAATTTGGAGTGTCTTTGGATAGGATGGTTAAAAGGATTAACACATGTAATTTTACTTCGGAATAATACAGAATGCTGCTCTTAGATATAACCTCTAATTAATTTTTTAAGTGGAAGTGTTTTGTTCATAATTAGGACAAAGCGTCAAAAACAATACTTGGGTTAACCTCATCTGACATGTTTTAGACCTGCATGACTTTTCATGCTCTGTTGTGGTTGAAGAGACACCTTTAGCAAACATGGGATTTAGTTCAAGTGAGACTGTAATGCTACATCATTGTTGATGTTTATTGTTTTTCTTTTGCACAGGAAGAACAAGCATGGATGTGAAATCTGTCGTTGCAAGAAGTGTCCTGAACTGCCATGTGACAAAGACTGTCCAGAGGGCTTTGAGCAAGACAACCATGCCTGCATTACTTGCAAGTGTAAAGGTAAGTGCTGAATGGGGTATCCATTTCCACTTTTGTTCTTTCCCTTAATCAGGGATTAATCAGGCATTTGAATGTGAAGCAAATAATTGGGATTTAAATCAGGGAATTTGAAAATGATAAATTAGATTTATTCCACCACAAAGGCAAGATATGGGTACATAGACGTACATATGATTTTTATTTGTCAGTAGTGATGTCACTTCTTAATAGATTACATTTTTTTTCTTAATCAAGACTAAAACTTAGTACAGACACAGCCATTCAAAATGCACATCAATAGTCTTGTGGCAAACTCGCTGTTACACACTGTGCTATGAGTTCGCTTGGCAAACTTAACTTTTTCACTGGCCAAAGAGGATTGATAAGTGGATAAGATCAGTTAAAATAATTAAAGCATAATAATATTTCTGAACATCATTAATGATTAGTAAATATAAATATAATATATTTACAGGGGAGTGGTAGCTATAAAGAAAAAATAAGTAGCACAACAGAATTCCACCTTCTTCATAAACATTTTCATAACCAAATTCATTAACTCAGTCACTTGGATTTTGGAATGTTAGATGTGCTTAACTACATCTTTCTGTCATTATTGTTGTAATGGAAAATGAAACGTTTGTAGCTTTATTGAAACTCTTGTAGAAAATGGAAAAGGCTACAGGATTAATTTAGCTCATCAAAACAGAGTGATGCAGAATGGTAGAATTCTTACCTGCCACATGGAAGGTCTGGGTTTGATTACCAGCCAATGCACAAGTTGTACTATCAACAAATAAAGACTCTTTCTCTAATAATAAAATATGATAGATAATATGAATTAAAGGAACATGTAATAGGTTTATTCCATGCTGAAAAGAGAAGAAAGAAAACACAATGTTTCAGCCGTGGAGCCTTCTTCAGGTGTGAGAAAGACAGGGCAGTAAGCAAAGGTAATGTAGTGGGAGAACAAAAGCTGGGAGAGAAGAGGGGCAGGAGGTGGGAGCAGGACACAGACAGAGTGGCCAATCAGGTAGTGTGAAGTCAGGATAGGTGAAGAGAGGTGTGAAATGAAACCTACAATGAATAAAGAGAATTTTGAAGAAAATTAGTCTGTCGTTGAGAGAAGGGGAAAGGTGTGATCATAGCTGCAGGATAGTTTTAGTTTCTGTAGTCTTTTTGAAGTGGGAGTTAGGAAAACCATCTTTGAGAACACAGAGGGAGAGATTAGTGTGATATTGGCTGTCAGAGGTGAAATGAGAAACAATAGACTTGGAGAAATCTTTAATCTTCACAGCCCTAATATGTTCTCTGAATTGGTCTCTGTCTCCTTCCTGTTTCCCCAATGTAGGTGGCTGGGCATTTACTGCAAGAGATACAGTAAAGGGTGCTGGAGGTACAAGATGTCATCTGAGTGGTTCAGAATTGTCCTGAGAGTCCTTGAATGAGTGTGGTGTTAGATATGTACTTCTGCGTGATACAGCAAGCTCTGTTGCAAGGGAATGTGCCTGGTGTGGATGGTTGCTGAGGGTGGTCAAAAGAGCTGTAAACAAGAAGGTTACGCAGATTAAGTGGTCTGCAATATGAGATAATGTGGTGGTCAGAAAAGAGGGCCACCCAGTGGAGGGATCATCCTGTAGGATGGAAAAGTTGTCTTTAATAGTCCTGGGGAGCAATATGAGCAGTATTTATTATAAACTATAGTGACATTTTTATTATTTTATATATCACAGTATGTTAAAACAATATTAAAAATAATTAAATGAAGGAACCACTGAGGGGTAGAGTTAGAAAACTTGTGAATACTATCAAAGTCCAAGCTGGTCAGACCAACAATCTCCAGGATGCTTTGAAAGAGTAAGGGAACTTAAAGATGCTCTTAAACAAAAATTGCAATTGAAGTCTTTAAATGTATATTTACTTTAAAATACCAATCATTAAAGCCACTATGTACAGTATGTTACATAGTTATGATCTAAAAGAATAAAGTGACATTAAAAAGGCCATGAACTACAAACATTTAAGATGAGGAATGTTATGAAATAATGTCAAAATCTCCCCTGAATTCCCCCTCTTCCCCCTTCCCTCCTTTGAAGACATGGAAGCTGAGACACCTGCAGAGTGAGATGTGAACAAAGGTGGAGGAGGGATGCAAGAGATGAAATGTGCAAAAATAGGGATTTGAAATTCAGTTAGACATGTCACGCTGTAGTATGTGTTAAACTTTACATCACCATCATGTTCTTAAGCATGAAGAAACATTTGCAGATTTAATGCATAGTTAAACTTAAAGATCAGAATGAGCTTAAAATGTTTCAGCAAAACAGTGGGGTCTGGCAGTTTGTTTTGTCAAACATCAAGGACAGTAAACGAGGTGTGGGGAGAGATTTTTTTGACTGTGAGCTTGCATGTTAATGTAAACAAAGATTCTAGGACAAAAAGGTTGTGAACTCTTTTCACTGTAACAACTTAAAAATGCTTTAATTTAAACAATCTTTAACCAATATTGTTAGCTCTGTATGTCAGCATCCTGGTGCTACAGGGAAAAATAAAACTCCTACTTAGATCTTCTGTCAACTAGAGCTTTTAGTATTTGACATACTAAATATTTAATATTTAACATACTAAATTTGTCATCACCTTGTATACAGCAGGCTTCATCTATAACATATTTGCCTAGCCGAGTAAATAGCAAAAGCCTTAACAAAAACATGCTGACTTGTTAAACCCAGTTTATCCCATGCAATGTATTGTAGATATGTGAATTGTAATTAAAAAGTATATTCTTCTCAGTGTAATATGTAATATAGTATGTTCCCAATACAAATGGTGATGCACAATAGTGCAATAGTGTGAAATGCTTCCATGAGCTGGGCACCCATTAGTTGACAGCAGTAAACCTAATTTGTTTTTGTTTTTTTGAAGCAGCTAGTGGCCGGGACATTTGTTTTCTAAATTTTTTTAGAAAAAAGTGTTTCCATTCAGTCTCCTTTCAATTATGCTGTCCTCCAGGTCCCACTAAGGTCTAATTATATATTCTGAATCCTAGCTTTGACATGAGGAGTCAAAGACAAAACACAAATATTTTCAAGACTTGAATTTTGTGAGTGGCATTTAATAATTTTACATTTATGAAATAGTTGTATTTGTTCGTTAGTTTGAAGTACATGCCTCTCCAAACACAAAACATAGTTTTTACTTAGGCATGTCAGCCAAATACATTGACATATTAACTATATTTTGCACATGTAACGTTATTGGACCGAGCAGAGTAATGCAAAAATGAGTAAGGAAAGTTACTGAGTTTAAGAATTCTGTGAAGTAATATCTACAACTATCGATATATATATAATGCAATTCTTGCAGACTGCCTTCATCTAGATGCAATTATCTACACCACTGTTGTAATTAACGATCATTAAATTTTAATTAAATGTTTTAGAAGCACATCTCTCAACAATTTAACAACAACTTAAAATATTAAGAATTTAAATATATTGATATAAATATAGTGCAGACTTCAACAAAGTGAGCACTTGTATCAGCTACAATGTGTAAGCCTGTGTTAATATTTCTCCATAGATCATTTTGTGAACTACTAGCTCACTTTGCTTGCTAGCGTGTAAGGGTTAATGTCAATTGGAGGGTAGACAGCTATATAAGCAGATTATAGTCACTCAAAGACATTGCATTGTATTAGAATCTCCAATTCCCATAGATCACACTGGGCAACATTTTGGCAGTGCCTACCACCAGGGTCATGAGTCCCTCTGCTGGCTGGCTGTGGTGACATCCTGCAGGTCCCTCTCAATGCTGGTAGCTTCGCTGTTGGTTGTCTGTTGTCACCACCATGTAATAAAGCAATTGACTTGGGATAACTTCAGAAAATCTGTCTAAATTTTGAAAAAAACATCTGGGGTATTCACAGGTCAGGAGAACTGCAAGCTGAGTGAGGATTAGCTCATTACCTGTTTACACATTACACATTACAGTTTAAACATTACAGTAGGCTACAATTTCTTTACCAAGAAAGATTTCCACGCTCTGTTTTGAGTGCAATAAAACCACAAAAGTGAATAAAATTGCTATTGACCTACCCATGGCCTTGTCCATGTCTTATATATTTTTGTTAATTTAGTCAAGCTTTGACCAAACCACTATAGAAACCAATGGGTAAAGCAATAATCTCGACCTTTTAAAAACTTTTTAGTAACCTGTCATAAATTCACATGTGAATTAGGTTAGTCATTGTTACAGTACTAATAGTTAATTGCCTGAATTTATTAAAAGGTTTTTCATATTGTAGTATGGTGAGTAGACATCGCAAGACAACAGAACGAGAGAGTAGAAGGCAGGAATGTATGGTGTAAGGATGTGATTTATGTAGTTAATAAAATATAAGAACAGCTCTTTATTAAGATACACAACATTTATGGCGATGAGAGATGAGTGCTTGACGAACTCAAAGCGTGCAGAACACTGCACATTTTACAGATGCAGCCATTCAAAACAAGCGGGTGATACCACGTTAAAACGCAGTGCGCTTGTCGCAGTATAACACGGGTTACCGTATAAAACTGTATAATCCCGCATAATACAGCATAATACCGCAAGTAAGATAATTGTATCCGGAATTTCCGCCAGGTGGAGCTAATAAAGCTCAACCTCTCATGTTTGTCTCATGTCGCCATCAGTCTTTACCGCAGATATTACTAATAGTATTAATAATGAATGACCTTGGACAAGCATTAAACTCAAAGTATTACCCTGGTCCACATTCTTTGTAACCATCTTTGTAAACGAAAATACTTTATTTTTTCATTGACTGTCTTTGTAAATGAAAATACTTTATTTTTTCAATAATAAAAAGTAACACCACAGCATTTCGTTGATCCAATCACGCATTTGTTTCCAATCATGCAAAGTAATTCTTGAGAATCTCCGATTCACCATGCCTTTCACATGCTCATAAAAGATATTGATTTAGTAACATAAACATATTACTGTATGCAAACTGTACT